TCGACATCCAGGAAACAACAGGTTTCGTTGTCACACTATTCAGTAAGGAAGCAAGGAAACTCCTACAGGTCTGAATCTCTAGAAGACATTTTATCTCGACCACACAGACCGATCAGATGAAACATGCCAACGTAGACTTGCACAACTACGGGTGTTAAAAATGAATGAGAGGAATTATCATCTTTGTTCTCTGCAGCTCCCTGGTGTTTCCTGTTGCTAATTCCTAATCTTAATGACTACCAGATAAGCACAAGTGTTAATTAAAGGGAGCTGCATAATTATATCTCTGAGGGACCTGCGCCAGTGCCCCCTCACAACCACCTCCTCCAGCTGACACTCCAGCCTGGTTTCTCTTCCCGCACTTTACTCGCTCACAACATTAAGCATTCACCGCTCTCACACTCCTCTCATTATCTCATCCTGACCCAGTGCTTTTCACCTAGTTTCTGAAAATGGAAGGGGATCCACGCTCCAATGACATGGAAGTAATAAAACCACAACACTTTGGGCCGGTCCCACATGCCCGGAGCAGAGTTATAGGTGTTTTCTGGAATCCCTACCAGTGAAATTACCGAGAAGCATATGAAATGAAAGTCAATATTTTCACAAGCCACTAACATGGAGGACGGATGCAGCTCATAAAATACATCTTGGCCTCGAAAACAACTTCACATAACTTCACAGTCGCTGATCATTGCTGAAAATGAAGCTGCGGCGGAGGGGTGTGGGTGCAGCCTTTGGTCTTATGAAATTACCGTGACATAAAAATCCATCACAAACCAGCTTGCCCGCCCGGGTGCTCGCATCTCCACCAGAATGACAGCAATCTGTCAGCTCATCTGCGAGTCCACCCCAAGGAGGGGAAGGACAGGCGGAAAATAATAACAGAACGGACAACAAAAAGCCTTTGCCAGAATCATGTGGTTATGAGCTGAGCTTATTAAAAACCACAGTGGAAAATAAATATGCAAACATCCAGCCCGCCCCCTAGCAGAAAACACAATGAAATATGGTGTGAAAGACAGAGAGTGAAGAAGGAGGGAGAACAGACTCCCCACTGCTAATTTAATAAACTGACTATAGCAGGCTATGCAATTCCATTATGTTGTGTCATCTGTCCTGCGGAGGTTGGATCAGTTCCTTGGGGAAGGTCACGGCAAATGACAGACATAATCAGATGCAATCAAGTCATTCTGGATCCCAAATTTAAACGCCGCCCCGGCAGGTTTTGGAAGCCGGTGACCGTGCTGTTTGTTCCTGACGTCACTTGTCATGAGGTGGTTTAACATGACTGACAAGAGAGAGTCAAACACGGTGAATCCTTGTTGAGAATTACGCCTCAGGAGACACCGGATATCTCGCCAAAACGTTTGGCAAACTGTACATTTTGTAGGTTTTTTGAATGGTTAAGTGCGTCATGTCATATGGCACTCTTCATTCGTGGCATATATACAGACCAGGTACAGTAGCCAGGAGACAACTATAATAAAACTGTTGCTTTTCTGGCGAGTTGACCCACGTCATTGCTGGTAAATCGAACAGTGGCGTGTCCAGACAAGTTGATGCACATCAATTTCTCATTCAACCATGGGATTTTGACATATTTCAACCTCTTCGAGTCATCCGTCTCACATGCACCTGATGTAACAGATACACTTCTGTTTTAATCAATACAGCTATACAGGCTGAGCAACAGCTCATGTTTCACTAGTGCTTTATGAACACACACGTAGCTGCTATTTTCTCAGGTTTTACACACTTAACTACAGTGATAGTCGTCATATTTTTGCTTTAAGGTGCTGCCAAAAAGTGGGTGACCTTGAACTACACCCATGTGTAAGTTAAGGTGGGGGTTACAGTTGGATAACCACAGCAGTTCGGGTGGTTTTTAGTCATAGCTAAATAAGAAACGTGTCCAGTAAGTTACGGTTAAATCATAGCAGAAGACTTGAATTGAACCTTGGGTGTTAGAATCGAAACCTTATTAACCTTAAGTATCAGTTTGATGTTTGTCCAAACTCATAAAATTACAAAATATTCCCAACATGGGGACTATTCTGGTGAACAATGACTGTTCTTTCTCAGAATTAAAGGAGAAAGTAGTGTGGCATTGTTATAGCGCCGGAAAACCTCCTACAAAGGAAGTTGGGGTGGATCGTTGGATTAATAAAGCATGTCAGGGGCGAGCACGGCTACCGTCTCCCGTTTGTAGTTTTAGTTGCCTAAAGTTAACCAGACCTTAACCATAGAGGTAGCAAATCAGAAAAAAATGTGAATCGTATCTGTTATGATAATTTGAGTAATTTTGGAGAGCAACAATATCATCCTGCCAATGTGCCCCGGATTACAAAACACTCATATGAGTCATTTTGAAAGGGACAGTGATTTTGTCATTTCATAACTGAAAACATATCTCCACCTGTAGACGGTTAAACTAGCCGTTGCTTGTATCAGAATGAGTGTTACTAATCAAAAACCTCCACGAAAGATACATGAACCGCCTACGTGTGCATCTTGAATCTGCACAAGTATCTTTATGTGCAATGGTAAATGCCAGAACTCCTGAAAATAAGCATAACGTACAGGCTGGACAGCAGCATGTACCACTGAAAACAAAGGAAGTGGAGAAAAAGCCTCCATTTAGCTCTGCTCGTTAGTCAGAGCAAAGAGGCTGTCACGTATGGTCAGTGGGAGTGCAGAGCATCGTGGATTTAGTCATTATGTGCCGCGCTGCTTTTGTTCCCCAGGTGAAATTTTAAACAGGAGACCATGTTTCCTACCAGAAGGGCTCTCCCAGAATAGTCTCATTCTTATTCCTCGCTTTGTTTGCAAAGGCTCAAAACCACATGGAGAAATTGCGGCCATATGAGTGTTTGATTTGAAGGATGGCTAATGATTTCACCCCTGGGGGGTCTGATAGGTCGGATACAGCTTCTTTGAAAAAAAGAGCACAGTTTTAAAATCCTCACATTTTTTTTGCCTTCCTAACCGTGACAGAATGACATCATGCTTTTCTTGTGTGTGAGTGCAAATTGTAGCCTCCTCTGCACCATCAGGAAATGATGCGTTCCTCGGGTGGGAGTGGAAGGGGGGGCTCTGCATCCTGTCTACAGAGAGAAAAGTACCTGTTTCTCAGCTGCAATTTCAGGACAATAAGGAAGCACTTGTGTGCAGCATCTATCACCCAGACCATATCTCAGTGTTGTCAATGTGATCAAAGGATGAGAAAAAATGTCCCACAACCAGCTGTAACAATTAGTCAGTGGGTAGAAAAAGGAATATGCAACACTGATCTTTAGCAAAAAATGACAAACATTTTCAGTTTCTAGTTCCTCAAATGTGAAAATCTGCTGCTTTTCACTGTTTGAACTGTTGGTCAGACAAAAGAAGACACTTGAAGATGTCCCCTCTGCCTCTGAGGAACTGTGATCGGCATTTTCTTTCTCAATATTTCTAATTCAAGGTTACTTTTTGACATGATGATATAAAATGAGGGAAAAGCAGCAAATAGTCACATTTCAGAAGCTTGAACCATCAAAATGTCTGAAATTTTCTGCTAGGGATTTAACTTTTTTCACAGCATGATGAAATAGTAGGGTAAACACAGGTGTTAGCAATGATATCCATTAAGGTTCTGCTCCATTCACCGAGTCTGCTAGGGTGCTGCTATTGCTCACTGAAGATGCTCTGCTGCACACTAAATGTAAACTAGTATCAATTGTTAACACTTGTGTTTGCCCTACTATTTCATCTCAAAATGGCTGCTGTAAACAAGGCTGTATTGTTTTTCATGACAGAGGCTGAAGGGTCTGCATTATAGAAAAAAACCCTGAATCCATGACATTGAATTTCTAATCACGCCATATCACTGAGGAACCCATTTCAGATCGATGTCTCCTGTAACAACCTTTTTCCAGGTGCTATCACAGAGGAACAGCTCATCCAAGAGTCTCAGAAGTGCTGAGAGAAAAACAATCCCGCTGCAACAATTAGCAAAAGAGCCGCAATATGATTGTTTCTGGTCAATATTGCGCGGCCTAGTTTGGCTCTCAGCTGAAGAATAACATTTCAAGTCCCTTCTGCTTTATAGTTTCAGCCAACTCATTCAGGGCTTTGGATAAGAGGGCCAGCCCACACTGACAGCTTACACCTTCTGGAGTGAGACAGTAATAGCATTACCAACGAGGCCAGCACACACAATATAAACACAAATCTTGCTCCTGCAAAAAAAATCACGACTCACATATCATCTACTGTATGCACTCCCCAGAGGCTCACTCACATATCATAAACAATCATTTACATTCCTAATGAAAGTCTGAGGACACAGTAGCCTCAAAGGAAGAGAAAGGTGGAGCGTGTTTGATCTTTTTTCAACCATAAATACCTATTCTGACTATAGCTGCTATAGCTACACAGTTCCTGTTCCAGAGGTGGGCCTTGAGGTCTGCTGAGGGTAATAAATATTCAAGGAAGCTGTCACATCCTTTTGTTTGGTTGTGCAATTACACCAGCTAGATAAGTCAGTGGTTATTCTCCAGCATTATTGCACAGTTTATACTCATATTACTTCCCCAACCGTGCTACACAAAGCAGATTATCACTCTGTGCACTGAGGAAAGTATCTTCTCAATCAAATAGTCAGATTTATAATCATATTGTGCTCAAAGAGAATCATTAAAACTTGGACATGGAGGTACATGTTTGTGTGTGTTTTCTTCAATCAAGACTCACTGGTCCCAGTTGAGTCACCCTTCTCAAGATGCAGCCTCTTGTTTCTAGATATTTCTTGGAACACGTGGACAACCCTTTGATCTGAGTGGTGCTTTACTTCATGTCAACATGATTTATAGTCTTATATGGTGGATTATACTGTGGGTGGTCAGTACAGGAAACCCACATAAGCCCCTGGCAATGGACAACCAATGTGACAAAAGAGTGTCCAATCAAATAATCACTGATTTGGAAACACATTTTCCTTCTTTTTCAACGTTTCTTACCACTTGAATTCTTGCCACAAATGAGGTGCTGGTAGTGCTGCAGCAGACCCCAGATCTCCGAGTCGTTGTTGATGGCTTGCTCCAGAGACTCCAGCGTAAACTTGGGGATCCCGTTGTCCCTCTCCACCAGCGCGCTGCGCAGGACGCGGCTGAACACCTCTCTGAACAGACTCTCCATGCAGGCGGTGAGGTATATGGCAGCGTGTTCGTGGATCCTGAGGGCCACCCGACTATCCACCATCCACCTGAAGAACTTCCCCACGGAGAAGACCAGCCCGCAGCGCTCCGACTTGCCTCGGCTGAACTTGTCCCCGGTGCTCATGTTGTACAGGGACAGGGCGCTGAGAGCCGCCGTGATGCAGTTGACGGAGATGGTCCATGAGAGCACCACCTTGATGGCGCTCTGGAGCTCATGCTTGGTGCACTTGGCGTAGCGCAGGCTGAGCCGCTGCGCCTCCCGGGCCACCCGCACCAGCGCGCGGCTGATGAGAGCCGACAGCCGCGCCAAGACCTCCGGTGGCGGGTTTCCTACCATCAGCTCCTCGTCTTTCCTCAGTGCGCCCTCCACCTCGCCGAGGCTCCATGGCACGTCCTCCAGCTCGGGCAGCTTGGCGCACTGACCCGAGCACTCCAGTATCTCCGTGTCCTCCGCCAGGACGGTGTTGACTGTGTCCAAACTGTTCTGTCTGCTGTGCATGGATTCGGTCAGATGCCAGCAGTTGCCCCCATGCGAGACGGACTGATGCGTGTCGGAGCAGCACAGCGACACGCTGGACGACCTGACCGAGTCCGCGGCTCCACCATAACCAGAATCAAGCGTTAAATCCTCCAGCGTCCTCACGACTGTCTTACCCTTGCCTGCCATAACTGCACCGCATACTGTTGGGTATGCTTGGTCTCTCAATTAAATGCCACAAACTCGTTTTCTTGCTCTCTCTTTTTTTTTTCCTCAGCCGCTGTCCGAGGGCTTAATTGTATTCCCCAGATTAAAGAGTGAAACGTGAAGAAGTGAGCCTCTACTTTCCTGTGTCTCCAAGTGGCTGGATGTGTCAGATATCCTCTTGTCCACAACTTCATACGCGTAACCCGAGAGCGCACAAACCCTCCGCGCTCACTGCAACAAGCGCAGCACAGGCAGGGCTCCGATGGAGAGGTGGAGCCTGGAGCCCCGCGGGCAGAAACAAGCCAATCCGCGTCTCCATCAGCTTTGACTGACACGTACAACCTGCCTGCTACCTTTCAGCAGAGGCCATACCTGGTGCTGGTGATACATAGCTGCAGAATCAGAAGACACAACACGTAAGCTGCCGTAGTAGCCAACCAATCTGTTATTTGTGGTCGTGAAGCTGCAGTGTCGTGTAGCTGGATTCCCACTGAGGAAACACATGGGGGAAATGCTCTGTGGATAGTGTGTGAGTGTGTGTGTGTGTTGGGGAGGGGGGGAGGTGGACCAATGACGTGAAACAACAGAGAGGATAAAAACAAACATATCCAATCTTTTTTTATTGTAACCTAACCACATGAAATACATCACAGTGTCAGAGAGAGTAAATGGTTGGGGGGGCACAGACAGAAACAGTGACTTTCTGTTAATATACCTAATTTGTTCTCAGTATCTAGAGGTCATGCAGTTGTTTACTAGCAGCTCTGCAGGAGAAGGAAATGTGCACTTCTTGTGCAATTCATTTCCACAAATAGACATTTTAACCACAATATTGTCAGGTGCCCTTTTTTAAATTCATTGTCCTTCTTGAATCAACATTTTCTACCATTGTGTTCAGCTAATAATATCCTGTTTGACCTAAATGTTATTATTGGAATCTGGACAAAAGATTTCTGAATGAACTTTTGTTGTTTTCTTTTTATGAATGGCAAGGTCCTGCAGTATTTGGCCTGTTATCTTCATCTAGGGATCATTTTAAGTAATAAGTGAAAGTGAGTCTGCAGGAAAGGAACATCTCAAGCTTTAATGCCAGATCCCTAGGCTAAATATTTTACTGATAAAAGCACATCAGTCCAAGCTTTTTGAGGTCAGAGACACCTCATCCAGCAACATCCGGTGGCCTCCTTCAAAGGTGTAGCATCACTTCATCGTGATGCTGTTGATGTATTTTCCAAAATACAACAGTTTTTTTTGTCAAACAAAGAGCGAGTGAGTCGAATCCTGAAGACGTGCTGAGAGGAACAGTTGGTAGAATGATGATTCATCCATTCTGCTGGGGCTTCTCCTTGTACGTCTGAGCTGGACCGACCATCTGTCCACACTGCCTGCCGTTGCCAGAGGCCCTTTCATAGTTTCTTAGCATGACACTGCACTAGCCAAAGCCAGAGCTGGAGAAAAAACTTACTACACTGGAATGTTTTTTGAGCAATGTTGTGACGCCCACTCTCCTTGCAGAGTGACTGACAGGGAGAGGTGTAAAACAAAATCACGCCTGTCTGTGTCTTAGTGTCATTGTTTGGCTGACAAATGATAAACAATAGCATCCCCACACTGCAGGATGTATCTCGGTTGATTTATTTATGCCAAGACCCTCCACATGGAGACACACTGGGCCTCTGAAGGATACTGGATGAAACTTTTGGATAAGAAAAACTGGTTTGTCAACAGAAGGGAGATTCTGATTCTGATACCAGAGAAAATAACTGATTAAACAATAATAATGCAGGTTGCAGGAAGAACTCTTACATATAAATAGTTTTTATATGTAACCAGGTGTCTGTGACATTAACCGAGTTCATCTTCCAGCAGTCTTGCCACGAGCTCTTGATGCAATGCAGCATATCTTGCTGACTAACTAAGGTGAGAGCGGTGGAGGTGGGCAGCTGTCAGCTGCTTCTCTACACGCACCGTGGTCCTCCAAAGCTTGTCCTCGCGTATTAAGCGGTTGCCTGGTAACAGCAAAATGATCATGGTTTTCCCAGCAAGATGATAGATTGTTAGTATTTTGCCAGCAGAGTGAGTGCATCATATAAACATGCTTCCTTAGTCATGCTGTACAGTCACGTTTTTGAATTGGCAGTTTCATTGAATCTTGTGGGTTTTTTAGACTTTATGTAAAGTGCATTGTGTGATTATGTTGCTATACGCTGTGTTATCTATTTATAACTATATATATTGTAAAGCCTTTTTGTTTAGCTTGTTTTAAAATTGTATATATGTATTTTGTGCTTAAATGACTGTACATTTGGTACTTTTTTTAACTATGACTTATATTGAATTTTTGTATAATTTATTGTTATACTATTATGCAACAACAATAATGATGAAAAATAATAAGGTTTATTACCTTAACACTATGATTCTGGGGAAAATACTGGCCAATAAAGTGTAAAAGACATTAGAAAAAAGTGCAGCCTCCACTATTTTATCATATACGGATGAATTAGATAAAGTTATCATCAGATATGGAAGAGGACAGTAGTGGCGTGATGTTATACTGACACTCAGTGGTCACAATAAAGTACTACTTCTTCTGTCCTTGGCTGCGTTTTCTATCTTGCATAATTACACACCATTTTATGTAAGAGAATATTGTGACGCATTTCTTATTTAGACATTAAAAAACACCAAATATAAAGAAAATAAGATAACGTGGTCCGACTACTTCTAATAATACCGATGATAATAATACATTTGAAATATATTCGTGCAACTTATATACACATAAATAGTAATATTATAACATCTTGGCTCAAAAAGTAAAGAAATGGTTATTTGTGAACCACCTTTTAACAACAAAGCAATTAAAAGTTTTACACGGGACACAAGGCAGAAAATAAAGTGATAAACACTTTTTTTTTTTTGTTTATATAATAAACTGAAAACAGGGAGTTACAGTGCAGTTACAGAGTAGTGCAAGATATGAACGAAAAGTGCATTTAGTTGAATTAAGGCAGGGGCAAACAAAGGTTTTGAGCCTCGATTTAAACAACACGTTAAAACAAGCGTTAAATGTGGATAAACTTTGCAGATTTAAGCTCTAATCTGCACTTTAATTATAACCCAGCCCGTCTAAATATACAGCAAAGCTCCTCCACAGGTCCTCTAAGGTGCTGCAGCTTCAGACAAGTCGTTTTTTAAAGCCTTTATATTAAACTGCACAATTGATTTCTAATATGAAGTGCGTCAGTACTACAGTGACACACACACACACACACACACACACACGCACGTTGACGCGTGAGGTCCGTGCGCTCATGCCAGACTTCATGTGCTCATCCGGGTTCTTTTATGGTAAACAAGCCAGTGGGCTCTGTAGGCAGCCGGATGCATTGATATGTTTACAGTATTGCTTTCTTTTTACACTAATAACATGCTTTCCAAGTCTATATGCACATCTTATACAACTCTTTTTTAAATAATTAACTTATTTTCATACTTAACTTAACAAAAAATTAAAAAAAGAGTAGTAGAGTAGTGTTTTTTACTCATACATGTCTTTATTTATGTAGTAACGTTGTGAAATATCATGCTCATCATGCAGAAGTAGTCCCTAACGTTACCACATGTTCACCGTGCACGTTGGCGGGCTCGTCAGTATTTAGGGCAGAGAGAAAAGCACGCTGCAGAAACGTGACCACGCCGAGACGACGCGTTCGGCGGTCTGCACCAATCAGGGAGCTCGGTGGCTGTTGCGCGTAGGGCGTGTGGGCGGAGTCACGCAAAGAGCGTAGGTGCGGCGAAGAGGTTGAGCGGCTATTCGCAGACGCTGGAGGAGCGTATACTTTTTGTTTCTTTAATCTTCTCCTACATAGACAACTTCAAAAAAAAAACAAAACCGCTCGGCAGCTGAGAGACGACGCACACGGAGCAAAAACCGGACTTAAAGCAGCTAAGTATCCGTCCGCGTTACGTTTAGGACGACGAATTTAAACGGAATCGTAAGCCAGAATTTGTATTTTACATAACCAGCTCTTTGCAGCCGTGTCACCGTGTCCTGTGGCCGTTAACGGCACCAACCGTCAAATTACACGCCAGCCAACCAACTCTTGTTTCAGGTATTACTTAAATAATGCTCGCAAACGCCTTTTTAGTACGCGTATAGTTGTTATTTATATAAATATATATCTCTTTTTTTTTTCTCAATTCAGAAAAACAAGTTATACAACAAGCAGCGCTCGTCATCAGACCGGGGTCCTAAAGCCCGCCGTGTTGCTAGGTCACATTTCCGGAGAGTGCGCGCGCTTGTCTCGTGCCCAAATGGTTCAGCTGACATTGGTTTTTAAATTCTTCGACATTATGGAAAAAGTCCTGTTAGAACAAGGTTAATCGCGATTAAAAACATATTTTTCCCTCCCTCATACGTTTTTGGATAGTTTTCTTTCTTGGATCTACTTTTTTTTTTTTTTTTTTGGGGTCTTTGAGTGAGCACAAAACAAACAAACAAACAAACAAACTTATCCATAAAAGAAAGAAGAGAAAAGGACTCGTCCAGTTGAGTAATGGTCATTAATACGATACACTGGTTCAGGAAGGGCTTGCGGCTCCACGACAACCCGTCGCTCAAGGAATCTCTGCTGGGAGCGGATACTGTCCGCTGTGTCTACATCCTCGATCCCTGGTTCGCAGGTTCTTCCAACGTTGGGATCAACAGGTGGAGGTGAGCCAAAAAAAACAGACAGCCAATCCACGTGCAATAGAAAACATCTGCACTAATACACACCACAGCTCTTCAGTGTGCACCCATGCGTCTTTTTTTTAAGGGGGGTGCTAATCAGTCAGTTTTATGCACATGTGCAGTTTGATATCAGATAATCAATATTGGAGTTAATGTAATGTGTTAAAAGTAATGGTTTTGCAGCTTTTTTTTTTGTCTTATATGATAACAAACTAGCAAACTCTTTGTGTTTAGGACTGTTTGTCACATAAAAGCAAAATAATGTGTAGATTAATCAAGAAAGTAGACCAAACAACAGATTTAATGCAGTATATTTTAACTGTTGCATTGTAACTGTGGTGCTTGTTGGAACCAAAGCACTGCGAGTGTCTGCAGTAACACAGTAACCCACTAAATGTCAATTATATAAATAATATAACAGAAACATTTAGTACAGCACTGTCAAACAGGTTTGCTCCTACAATCTTGTTCTTTGTTTTGATTGTTGCAGAATATTTGACAAATACTAATAAAAGGACATAAATTGATACTTTAAATTGGATAATATTGAAGTCTTTGGCTTATATTACATGGATTAATTTATGACTAATATATTACAT